TCTGTGGGGTCCGTTGCTATATCACCTCTTTCATCTCTGACTATTTATTTGGTTCTACTCTGTTTCTTTTCTTTTTTTTTTTTAATATATTTTATTGATTTTTCACAGAGAGGAAGGGAGAGGGATAGAGAGTTAGAAACATAGATGAGAGAAAAACATCGATCAGCTGCCTCCTGCACACCTCCCACTGGGGATGTGCCTGCAACCAAGGTATATGCCCTTGACTGGAATTGAACCTGGGATCTTTCAGTCCACAGGCCGATGCTCAATCCACTGAGCCAAACCGGTTTTGGCTCTCTTTGTTTCTTGATGAGTCTGGCTAGGGGTTCATCAATCTTGTTTATCATTTTAAAGAACCAGCTCTTGGATTTATTGATCTTTTGGACTTTTTTTTTTTTTTTTTTTTTAAGTCTCTATGTCCTTTATTTATGCTCTGATCTTTATTATTTCCTTCTTTCTACTTCCCCTGGGCTTTTCTTCTTGTTCTCTTTCTACTTCGTTTAGTTGTCGGGCTGGATAGTTTATTAGTCCTTTCTGTTGTTTCTTGAGGAAGGACTGTAGTGCTATGCACTTCGTTTCGGCACTGTTTTCGCTGTGTTCCATCGGTTTCAAGTGGTTGTGTGTTCACTTTCATTTGTTTCAGGCAGTTTTTAATTTCTTGCTTGATATCATTGGTAACCCATTCATTGTTTAATAACATGCTATTTAGCCTCCATGTGTTTGAGTGTTTTTGAGTTTTGTTTTTGTAATTGATTTTTAACTTCATGCCACTGTGATCTGAGAAGACCCTGGTATTATATCAATCTTCTTGAATTTGTATAAACTTGTTTTGTGCCCTAACATGTGGCCTGTCTTTGAGAATGTTCCATGTGAGCTTGAGAAGAATGTGGAGTCCATTGTTTTGGGGTGAAATGTTCTGTAAATGTTGGTTAGATCCATCTGATCTAGTGTGTCATTGAAGGCTGCTGTGTCCTGGTTCATTTTTTGTCTGGAAGATCTATCCAGTGAAGTCGGTGTGGTGGTAAATCCCAAATTATTAATGTATTGCTGTCAATCTCTCCTTAAGGTCCATCAAGAGTTTTTTTTAATGTACTTCAATGCTCCTATATTGGGTGCATATATGTTTATAAGGGTCCTATTTTCTTATTAAATCATTCTGTGTAGTATAATGAAGTGGCCTGCTTTGTCTGATATGAATGTTGCTACTCCAGCTTTTTTTGCCTTTCCATTTGCATGGAATACATTTTTCTAGCCCTTCATTCTCAGTCTGTGTCTGTCTTTTGTTCTAAGGTGAGTCTCTTATAGATAGCACATATATGGGTCATGTTTTCTTACCCATTCAATCACCCTATGTTTTTTGAGTTGAACATTTAATCCATTTACATTTAAGGTTATTATTGGTAGGTATTTATTTATTGCCATTTTTATTTTCTTTATGCCTATGACCCTCTCTCTCCTTTTCTCCTTCTTACAGCAGACCCTTTAATATTTCTTGCATTGCTGGTTTGATGGGAATGTACTCCTTTGACCCCTTATTGTCTGGAAAGCTTTTTATTTCACCTTCAATTTATATGATAGCCTTGCTGGATACAGTAGTCTTGGATTTAGGTCGTTGCTTTTCATTACTTCGAGTACTTCATGCCTCTCCCTTCTGGCTTGAAGTGTTTCTCTTGAGAAGTCAGTTCTAATGGGAATTCCTTTGTATGTAATTTTTTCTCTTTCTTACTGCCTTTAAAATTCTTTCTTTGTCTTTAACATTTGCTATATTATTATTATTATTAAGTCTTTATCTGAGGATATTTTTTCATTGATTTTTAGGGAGAGTGGAAAAGAGAGGGAAAGACAGAGAGGAATATTAATGTTTGATAAACACATTAATTGGTTGCTTCCTGCATGTGCCCCAACTAGGGCCCAGGCCAGGGTGGAGCCTGCAATGAGGTATGACCAGAATTGAACTAGGGACCCTTCAGTTCACAGGCTGGGCTAACATTTGCCATTTTAATTATGATGTTTCTAGGTGTGGATCTCTTTGGGTTCATCCTTATTGGGACTCTCCATTCCTCCTGAACTTGTCTGACATTTTCTTCACCATGCAGGGGAAGTTTTCTGTCATTATTTCTTTAAACAGGTTCTCTGTCCTTGCTCGCATTCTCCTTCTTCTGGCATTTCTATAATGTGGATGCTTTTATGTTTTATGGTGTTGCAGAGCTCCCTTAAGCTATCTCCCTGGTTTTTAATTCTTTCCTCTATTTGCTGCTCTAATGGGTATTTATTTCCACCTTGTATTCCAAATTGCTGATTCCTTCCCCTGCTTCATCTAATCTGCTTTTAATCCCTTCCAATGTGTTCTTCATGTCAGATATATCATTCTTCCTTTCTGCATGGTTCAATTTCCCTTCTCATGTTGTTGTAATTTTCACTAAGTTACTTAAGAATCTTTATAACCATTGCTTTGAATTCTATATCTGATAGGTTTCTTGCCTCCATCTTGCTTAGTTCTTTTTCTGGTGATTCTTTTCTTTCACTTGGGGTTGTTTCCTTGACTCCTCGTTGTAGCTGTCTCTTTATATTTGTTCATGTGTACTAAATAGACAAGCTGTGCCTCTCAGTCTGTGGGATAGCCTTCTGTAGAAAGTGTCTTAAAGGGATCCAGTAGTATAGTCTCTGTGTTCAGCTGAGTTGGATGCTCTAGGAATGCTCCTTGTGTGCATTCTCCTGTAATTGGGATTTGATTGTTGATGTCCTGTTTGTAGGAGGTATCTCCTATGACTAGTTGCCAGTGTCAACCCTAATGTCTTCCTGCCATCTGTCCAGTGGAGGGAGACTCCTTAGCCCAGAGGCTGGGTCTACCTTGAACCACACACCTTGGTTGACTGTTCTGGTCTGTGCTTCCTTCCCCCCGGAGCTGGTCCTGCAGGTGTCACCTGTAGGCACTTGGGGTCCTGCTGGCTTTTGCTTTCCTGAGCAGCCTGGGATGGTGTCTGTGGTGGAGACCCAATCTACTGCTTTGACTAATTAGATCATTCAAAGCCTCTAGAGATCCGCCTCTGTCTGCAAACTCATTGGACTCAGTCTTGAGTAGCCTCAGGCAATTGTCCACAGTTTGGGTGAGAGGTTTTCCAACAGAGTGGGACAACTGCTTCTGCCTGGAGTCTAATTGTTATTCTCAGTCTCTTAATGAAGCCTCAGAAACTCCACAGGGTGGGCAAGGGGCTTTCCAATAGGGTGGGCCGACTGTCTCCCCCTCTGTTTGGTACCCACAAAACACCTGGATAGCAAATGTCTGTGCGAGAAAGATGACCCCCGCACATGAGGAAATGAGACTCAGCACAGGAAACCAGGGTGTCTGCCTTCTGGGGTCTAGCCAAAGAGCCCCAACCCTGGCTTCTGCTCACTCAGCTCTAGTCCACTCTGCTCCCCCTCTGCCAGAGCCCAAGGTGAGTGGCTGCACATAGGATTTTGTGTGTTGGCCCTTTAAGAGGGTGCCTGTATTTCCAGCTGCCTCTCCCTGCAGATAGCAACCTTGTTGCTTTTCACGGCCAGATGTTATGTGGGCACCCTTCTCAGTTGTGGTCTGTGCGCAGGGGAGCCCAGCTTAGGGTCTAGACCCCAGAGTTCTCAGTGGCAACCCCTCTCCCCCAGCTGAGACCTCTCTGCAGACCTTCAGCTGCTGTCTGTGGGAGCCCGGCCAGCCCCCGCCCCTCCTGCCTGTCTCTGTGGTCTCCACTCTGTCCTTGGTGATCAGGGTTCTCTCCAGCTGTCCTCAGTTGGCTATTTAGGAAATTTTTCTGTATTTTAGTTGTAATTTCAGTTTGGTCCTGGGAGCATGTCTGTGAACTTATACTTAATCCATCGCCATTTTTAATCTGTACATATATCCTTTTTATTCTCTCTTTTCTAAAACATATTTTTATTGATTTCAGAGACGAAGAGAGAGGGAGAGAGAGATAGAAATATCAATGATGATAGAGAATCATTGATTGGCTGCCTCCTGCACACCCCTTAGTGGGGATTGATCTGGCAACCTGGGCACATGCCCTTGACCAAAATTGAACCCTGGAGCCTTCTGTCCGCAAGCTGATGCTCTATCCACTGAGCCAAACCAGCTAGGGCTCTTTGTCATTAATATTATTATTATTATTATTATTATTAAGTAATATATGCTTTGTTATGCAAGTTTGTTTTTGCCTTGAATAAATTTTGGTGATTTTTAGTTCTACCTCTTTCTGTCGGTGACTGCAAAGCATTTATTCATTCCTTCTCTGAATATGTGTCCTGCCAGGTCCTGGCCCATGAGAGCACAGGTACTGTGATTTACTTAGTTGTTTCTAGGTCTTGCTCTTAGTCAGATAGCGGTGAGCATCCTTGAACCTGTGATTCCTTGTACATTTACCAAGTTTGGATACCCACCTTTTAATTTTTAAAAAATATGTTTTTATTGATTTTAGAGAAAGGAAGGGAGAAGGAGGAGAGAGATAGAAACATCAATGATGAGAATCATTGATTGGCTGCCTCCTACACGCTCCCTCCTGAGAATCGAGCCCGAAACCCGGGCATGTGTCCTGACTGGGAATCGATCTGGTGACCTCTTGGTTCATGGGTGGAAGCTCAACCACTGAGCCGCAACAGCCTTTTAAATTTTGATGGAAACCAGCAAGTGGCCTTGTTGTGCCAACTTTTCTTCTCAATGACAACATGAAATTACTATGAGCCACACCTTCTCCTTCTTGGATATTATAATTTTAAAGATTTGTTTATCTGGTTACCGGATTTGGCCATGTCGCTTTAAAAAGGTGCTTGCTGCTGCTTCCTGCTCATGTAGAGGCTGGGCCAGCAGCCACGTGGGAACTCAGAGGAGGGCGGGCACCCCCCAGCTAGTGAGGGTGTCCCGGAGTGCGGACACCTGCTGGGACTCCCATCACCTCATCCACTGGGCTGGTGCTAAAGTCACCCAGTGCTGCCCCATCCCATCATGGACACGTGTGGTGGTTTCTTCACAGGTGGCAACTGGGAAGTGGAAGCAGATCAGTAAATACTGTCCCCTTGACCTCTACTCAGGGTAAGAGACAGTCTTTGTCCTTAGTGCCATTTTTCCTGCAGGGGGTGTGGTTGGGGGTGTCCTGTGAGGGGTCAGGGGGTGCCTTGTCAGGCGGGTGGAGACCTGCAGCCCGTGCCCCAGATGCCCCAGCCGCAGCCCAGGCACAGGCAGGGACTGCACGGCCCGCTGCTGACCCTGCACATCTCCTTTCCGTTTTAGAAATAAGCAGAGAATGTACTTTGCCTTGAAAAGCTTGTTGCAGGAGGCACAGAACAACCTGAAGATATTTAAGGTAAGAGCGCTTCTGTGCTGTGGCTCTCCGCAGGAGCCGCCGGGCGGGCTGAGCGGGGCACCCGCTCTCCTCCTGGCCCGCAGACACGCATCCCAGGCGCCGCCTTGCCCCGGGGTGTGGGCTCCCTGACCCCCGGGTGCCTGGGCTCTGATCAGCCCCGACCTGACCCTCAGGGTGCCTCTGAGGCCTGGCTGGCATCCGCCTTCCCAGACCTGGGGGAGGGAGACACCAAAGTCAGGGTGCGTGTAACTGTGGGAAGGACTTGAGGACTGTGTTTGAATTAGACGGTAGATTTCTTCCCGTCAGGGGGCTTATCTGGAACCTGTGGCCAGGCTGGCATTCTGTCTGAAGTGGCCGTTTTGGCTGCCCTGCCGCCTGGGCCCCGGACAGCTTGTCCTGCCCTGCGCCTGGGGCTGGGCCTCAGACCTGGGCCGTCAGCTGCTTCTGTTGCCACGGAAAAAATTCAGAGTTTGGGAGAATTGTCTCAAAAGGAATGGATTAAGAGAAGGTACACAGCATGGCTTTTTTAAAATAGCATTTGGAGCATTGCAGTCCATTTTCTCAAGTGCCATCACTTTTTAAAAATGTATGTTTTTATTGACTTTAGACATGAAGAGAGAGAAACATGGATTGGCTGCCTCCCACACGCTCCCTCCTGGGGATGGAGCCCACAACCCGGGTGTGTGCCCCATGGGGAATGGATGCTGTGACCTCTTGCTCATGGGTCATGCTCAACCAGTGAGCTGCCCTGGCCCGGCCCTGGTGCCGTCACTTCCGGGCGAGCTGAGGTGCTGCAGCCGCTCCCGGTCGGCACCGCCATCCTCCTGTTGGTCCGCGTGTTGTTCACATACTCCATGCCTGTGGCTCTGTCCACCCCAGCGCGGGTCACTTGTAAACTTAGGGAGACACGTGGAGTGACCTGGAGCTGAGCTGATGGCTCTCCTCCAAAAGCCACCTGAGGTCCTTGAGCAGCTGTGTCTGTGGGAGCGAAACCCCGCCCTCGGCCCTCAGATGTGGGGGCAAGAGGTCTTGTCGAAAGAGGTTTGGGCGGAACCACCACCACCACACCCCCCCCCCCCCCCCCCCCCCCCGCCGGGCTCGTCAGCCCGCTGTGCTGGAGCCGGCCAGCCTCGCAGGCCAGTCCGCCCCACTCGGCTCAGTGCCCCACCGCACGGGGCCTCCGCTCAGTCCCGGCCCCTGGTGCCAGCTCAGCACGTCCTCTCAGCCTGTTTTCTCCTGGGAACTCCCGCCTGCCTTGGCCTGGCGTACCCGGCTCAAGGCTGTCTCATGGGTTCCCTGGCCTTGGTGGTGTTGGCCTTCATTGTGTCCCATCACCCTGGACACCCACTGAGCTCTGGCAGTGCCAGTGGGCCTTCCGAGGAAGCCGCGTCCTGTGGTTTCGCAGGACTTTGCCGAGGGAGGCACGCCTGTCTGCACGCCTGTGGGTTGACTTGCCTCCCCTCGGCCACCCGGAGCAGAGCAGGAATGTCCTGTCACATGCCCTGCTGCTGCGCTCCGGGCACTCACACCTCAGCTCTGCCAGGGAAGCCGGGGGACGGCTCTGGCTCAGGGTCTCTCCTGAGGCTGCTCCCAGCAAACCCCTGGCTGAGCCCATCTGAGCTCCCGGGCTCTGACCACATCACGAAGACAGCGCAGTGCGAGCCGGCGCCTCTCACCCTCCTCGGTGAAAGACCAGCGGGGCGCGCTGCCACTGCCTCCATGCTGCTGGCACATGGGCCCACCCTCTGTGAAGCGGAGAGGACCTCCGTGGGACTGTAAGGGCGATGGGCCGTTGGCACGTCCTGCAGGCTGTTAGCCTCACTTTCTCGCAGGCACAAGGAGGGAGGCGAGAGGTGCCACTGCCCTGGGGTGGGCTGCTGCTTGGGGCAGGAACCAGGTTCTCTTAGGGCCTTTTTACCAGACACCAGAGGCCACATCTGTTACACTCCCAGGCCACCATGGGCCAGACAAGCAAGGACTACGAGGAAGTGGGCACAAAACGAGAAGCTTCCGTTTTCATAGAAACATAGGTTTATTCCGATAGAGACATGCTGAATACAAAGGGCTGAAATAAAGGAGTCATCCTTAACATAAAATAACTGAACATTTTAATGACAATTATTTTTCTTGTACATTCACTTACCAGACACTGATAACTTCACAAATTAATAAGCGTAACACAAATAAACCTATTTCTCTCGCTCTCCAAAGCGATATATTTCCTGTTGCGCACACCAAACAAGTCAGTCCCAGACTAATGACGTGGCCCTCGGCCACTGACATATCTGCTGCTGGTGTTGGTGGAGGAAATGGTGCGCCTGCGCTTAAGGGAAATGAATGCAAACAGGATTCTAGTAATCAGCCATTTGTGAACGTTGTAGTTCGTTATTAATAATTTTGTAAAACAGGATATTATAAAAATTAAGTCACAAAATTTTTATTAAAATGTTCCTTACATACCGTTATATTGGCTGGGCCACAGAAATATTCAATGTGGGCCACATGCAGCCTGGGGCCGTGAGTTTGACACGCTTGGTGTAGACCCCGTAAAAGTCATGGGCTGGGCCCATGGCGGTTCCGCCTGCAGTCTGTGAACCACCAGTACTGCAAGGGGTTTCTTTGCTGGACTTGGTTTGGAAGGCAGGATGGCCTCAAGGCAAGGGTTTCACACCCGCCCTGGCGGGACTGGTCCGGCCTCTCACAGAGGACAGGGCTCTGCAGAACTGGCATCCACAGCGTCCACACTGCCTCTCGGTGCCTCTGCTCAGGCCGGACGCAGTGTCACAGGAGAGGCGTCCCTGCCTCTGCAGTCCCCGCAGCCAGTGCGCTGTGTCTGGCCTGAGGTTTGTACTTCAGTTCAGGACTCCGGTCTCCCGTTTTTAGAGCTTTCCTTCTTTCCCACCTTCCCGTGGGACTCGCCTTTTGGTCCGGGATAGGGTGCGCCCACCGCCGCCGCACCGGGTGTAGGCCCCGATGGCCAGTGGTTGATGTTCGCTCCTTTGCCTGCCTGTCCTGTTTCTTCCCTGCAGAACGGGGAGCTGATTTATGGCTGCAAGGACGCCCGCAGCCCCGCAGTTGACTGGCGTGAGCTGGCACATCACCTGAAGCCCTTCTTCTACCCGTCCAACGGCCTGGCCAGCGGGCCCCACTGCACGAGGGCCGTGATCCGGGAGCTGGTGCGCGTCATCACGCGGGTGCTGCTCAGTGGCTCAGACAAGGGCCGGGCAAGTGCCCTGAAGCTGGGGCCTGGGCCGCCAGGCCCTTGTGTCTGTGAAGCCAGCCCCTTCGGCAGGAGCCTGCGGCACCAAGGTAAGCTGGTGGCTGGCGGGTGGGCAGAGGCCGGCCGTCGCCTGCTAGGGTCCTGCCTGGCCTCCCAGAGCTTCTGCAGGAGCAGCCTGGGCCCCACAGGCTTCCCCAGAGCCAGCCTCCCCGCCTCTGAGCCTCGGTGGGGAGGCGCCCTCCTCGTCCCGATGTGGGTGTGTCCTTGCAGCCCAGGTCTTCCCTACATCCCTGTCCACCATGCCCGTATTTGCTGGTGCTTTCTCCACGCCCTCCTGGTTTTTCCTCGTGGTGCACTGGGCAGGCTTCCTCGGCCGTTCTCAGGCACAGGAGTGAGCCCCACAGTGCAGGCCTTTGCAGGGGGAGGGAGGGTGCAGGGCCAGCAGGTGCAGGGCTCCTGGCTGTGGCGCTCCCTGCTCGAGGGCCTGTTCCTCACACACCCGGAGCTGGCTGTGACTTGGTGGCCTCTGGGCTTCCAGGTGGCTAGCTTGGGTTTTTGTCCTGCGTGTCCCCACGCTCGTTTGCTCCTATGTTATCCGCCAGCAGCTCACCATGCGCTCAGGTCCGTGGATGAGGAGCGGACTAGGAGGCTTCTAAGAGCTCTGTGGTCTGAACTCTGGTGGGGCTGTGGGTGACTGTTAGAAGTGAGGTCACCCAGACACAGCCTACACCACCACCCTCTGGGTGCCACCTCTCCACGTGGGCTGTGGTTCGGGGCTCCACAGACATGCTCTCAGATCGGGGCTGTGAACATGCCATCTCTCTCAACAGCTCTAGGTGGTGTGATGGAGTTGATGGCTGTTGCAAGGGAGAGAGGCACAGAGACGTGGGTCACCTGCCCTTCGCTTTATGCCTGGCCTGTGCACGTGCCCACAGCTCCAGCTCCTCTGTGAGGCGGGGCAGCCTGTGCCTGCTGCTGACGTCAGCCCTTGGCAGTAACCCTCCTTCTCCCCGGATGTTCTTGGTAGGAAAAAGCAGCCTGGAGCACTCGGGGTTGCCGAAGGACTGTCTTCTGTACCAAACCCTTCAGGTGCAGATGTTGGACCTGCTGGACATCGAAGGCCTCTACCCTCTGTACCGACGGGTTGAGCGGTACCTGGAGGAGTTTCCTGAGCAGAGGTGAGGCTTGGCCTGTGGTACCCCTGACCCCTGGGCCCCAGTGGGGCCCCCAAGCAGCTCTGAGGGTGAGATGGGGTGTGAGGGTTAGGGTCCTCCAGTGGAGGATCACACAGGACTCCCAGGAGGCTGACCCGCCCAGCCGCCTTCCCTCTGTCCCTCCTGGTGCCAGGCCTGCCCAGGGCAGTGCTGTGTGTTCGTTTCTGGAAAAGCAGCACATCCCAGGAGGTGGACAGTCCACAGCAGCAGCTCTGGGTCCTGAGTCGGGGCTGAGCTGCAGGGGGTAGCGCTGCTCCACAGCCAGCACCTGTCTGCCCGTTAGCCTCTGCCTCGGGCCTCCCTATGCCCTCCAGTTGGGGTGGCTGGGCCCACAGAGGTGGGCGGCGGGCGGCACCTCCCTCCCACTGTCCCTTCACGCGAGCTCTGACTGGATGCCATGTGTCAGAATCAGGACGTGTTCGGCTCACTCCCAGGCTCCGGTCTTGCAGGGTCTTCCAGGCAAAGTGTAGATGGAGGAGGAGGAGCCTGTGAGCCAGAGGTGTGGTTGCTGAGTTGTGAGCAGTTTAAGAAACAGTCCCTGTGCCTGTGGCATCTTATTTCTGTCCCTTTCCTTCAGGAAAGCATTGCAGATTGATGGGCCTTATGATGAAGCGTTTTACCAGAAGCTGCTCGACCTTTCCACAGAGGATGATGGGACAGTGGCCTTTGCGCTGACCAAGGTGAGCAGGCCTTTCCAGAAGCGCCCGGTGTTCCGCAGGCTCTCACACTGAGCCGGGCTTTCTGAGAAATGTTTCCTGATGGTTGAAGCAGGAATCTGGGATTTTTTATTTTTATTTTTTCAAAGAAACCAGTTATATTGAGATACATATATCCAAATATTTTAAACAGTGAACAATTTTATTTTTTTATAACTTTTTTTTATTGTTCAAAGTATTACACATAGTAGTATATATATCTCCTCCCCCCCATTGACCTTCCCCCAGCCTCCTCTACCCCCCACATGCCCGCATCCCCCAACCCCCAGTGTCTTGTGTCCATTGTGCTTATATGCATGCATACACGTCCTTCGATTGCTCTCTTCACCCCCTCCCCAACACTCCCCAGCCTTCCCGCTATAATTTGACTGTTCCGTGCTTTACTGCCTCTGTATCTATCTTTTTTTTCATCAGGTTATAATGTTCTTTATTTTCCATAAATGAGTGAGATCGTGTGGTATTTTTCTTTCATTACCTGGCTTATTTCACTTAGCATAATGCTCTCCAGGTCCATCCATGCTGCTGCAAATGGTAAGAATTCCTTTTTCACAGCAGCGTAGTATTCTATTGTATAGATGTACCATAGTTTTCTAATCCACTCCTCTGCTGACGGGCACCTAGGCTGTTTCCAAATCTTAGCCATGGTGAATGGTGCTGCTGTGAACCTAGGGGTACATATGTCCTTTCTGATTGGTGTTTCTAGTTTCTTGGGATATATTCCTAGGAGTGGGATTGCTGGGTCAAATGGCAGTACCATTTTCAGTTTTTTGAGGAAACTCCAGACTGTTCGCCACAGTGGCTGTACCAGTTTGCATTCCTACCGGCAGTGCACGAGGCTTCCTTTTTCTCCCCATCCTCGCCAGCACTTGTCGTTTGTTGATAATTGCCATTCTGACAGGTGTAACATGGTACTGAATTATCTTTTTTATTTGCATCTCTTGAACTTAGTGACTTTGAGCATGTTTTCATATGTCTCTTGGCCTTCTGTCTTCTTTTGAAAAGATTCTATTTAGGGCCATTGCCCATTTTTTAATTGGATCATTTAACTTCCTTTTATTAAGTTGTATAAGTTCCCTATAGAAGTTGGAGATTAAACTTTTATCAGTGATAACATTTGCAAATATGTTCTCCCATACAGTGGGTTTTCTTATTATTTTGTTGATGCTTTCTTTTGCTGTGCAAAAGCTTTTTATTTTGATGTAGTCCCATTTATTTATTTTCTCTTTAGTTTCCATTGCCCTAGGAGCGGTATCGGTGAAGAAATTGATTCGACATATGTCTGAGATTTCTCTGCCTGTGGATTCCTCTGGTATTTTATGGTTTCCCATCTTATGTTTATGTTCTGTATCCATTTTGAGTTTATTATTGTGTATGGTGTAAGTTGGTCTAGTTTCATATTTTTTGCATGTATCTGTCCAATTTTCCCAACACCATTTATTGAAGAGAATGTCTTGACTCCACTGTATGTTGATGTCTCCTTTGTCAAATATTAATTGAGCATAGTGGTTTGGGTCGATATCTGGATTCTCTATTCTATTCCATTGATCTATGTGTCTGTTCTTGTGCTAGTACCAGTGGCTTTGTAATACAGCTTGAAATCTGGTATTGAGATCCCACCTACTTTGTTTTTCTTTCTCAGGATAGCTGTATCTATTCAGGGACTTTTTTTATTCCAGATGAATTTTTAGAGTTCTTTCTAGGTCTGTGAAACATGCCATTGGTATTTTAATGGAGAGTGCATTGAATCTATAGATTGCTTTGGGAAGTATGGACATTTTAATGATGTTGATTCTACCAATCCATGAACATGGTATGTTCTTCCGTCTATTTATGTCTTTCTCTATCTCTTTTTCAGTGTCCTGTAGATTTTGGCGTATAGGTCTTTTATCTCCTTAGTTAAGTTTATTCCTAGGTATCTTAATTTTTTTGGTGCAATGGTAAATGGGATTGCTTTTTTAGTCTCTCTTTCTGTAAGTTCACTATTGGTGTATAGAAATGCCATAGATTTCTTGGCTTTGATTTTGTATCCTGCTATATTGCTGAATTCATTTATTAAGTCTAATAGTTTTTTGATGGAGTCTTTTGGGTATTTTATGTACAATGCTAGAGGCCCGGTGAACGAAATTCGTGCATGGGGTGGGGTAGGAGAGAGCTTTGTCCCTCAGCCCAGCTTGCATCCTCTCCAATCTGGGACCCCTTAAGGGATGTCTGACTGCCCTCTCACAATCCAGGACTGCTGACTCCCAACTGCTTGCCTGCCTGCCCTCCTGATTGCCCCTAACCGCTTCTGCCTGCCAGCCTGATCACCCCCTAACTACTCCCCTGCCAGACGGATTGATGCCTAACTTCTCCCCTGCCAGCCTCATTGCCCCTAACTGCCCTCCCCTGCAGGCCTAGTTCCCCCAACTGCCCTTCCTTGCAGGCCCAGTTACCCCCAACTTCCCTCCTCTGCCAGCCTGGTCACCCTTAACTGCCCTCCCCTGCAGGCTTGATTGCCCTCAACTGTCTTCCCTTGCAGATCTTGTCCCTCCCAACTGCGCTACCTTGCTGGCCTGATCACCCACAACAGCCCTCCCTTGAAGGCCTGGTCCCTCCCAACTGCCCTCCCCTGCTGGCCATCTTGTGGTGGCCATCTTTGACCACATGGGGGCAGGCATCTTGTGTGTTGGAATGATGGTCAATTTACATATTACTCTTTTATTAGATAGGATCATGTCATCTGCAAATAAGGACAGCTTTACTTCTTTTCCAATTCGGATGCCTTTTATTTCTTCTTGTCTATTTGCAATGGCTAATACTTCAAACAGGAATGGTGAGAGTGGGCATTCCTGTCTTGTTCCTATTCTTGTACTAGTTTCGGCCATATATGGCTTTTATTATGTTGAGCTATAATCCTTCTATTCCCACCTTGCTGAGAGTTTTTATTAAGAAAGGGTATTGAGCCAAAACTGGTTTGGCTCAGTGAATAGAGCATCAGCCTACAGACTGAAAGGTCCTGGGTTCGATTCCAGTCAGGGGCATGTACCTTGGTTGTGGGCACATCCCCAGAGGGGGGAGTGCAGGAGGCAGCTGATCGACGATTCTCTCTCATTGATGTTTCTAACTCTCTGTCCCTCTTCCTCTCTGTAAAAAAATCACTAAAATATAAAAAAAAGGAAAAAAAGAAAGGGTGTTGGATTTTGTCAAATGTTTTTTCTGTATCAATTGATATGACTATGTGATTTTTATCTCTCAGTTTGTTTATGTGATGTGTTACATTTATTGATCTGCAGATATTGTACCATCCTTGCATTCCTGGGATAAATCCTACTTGGTCATAGTATATGATCTTTCTGATGTGCTGCTGGAGCCGATTTGCTAGAATTTTTTTGAGGATTTTGGCATCTATGTTCATGACGGATATTGACCTGTAATTCTCTTTCATTGTGTTGTTTTTATCTGGTTTTGGTATTAGGGTGAGCTTGCAAGTGTTCCTTCCTCTTGAGTTTTTTGGAATATCCTAAGGAGGATAGGATTTAGTCCTTCCTTGAATGTTTGGTAAAATTCCCCTGTGGAGCCATCTGGCCCCGGGCTTTTGTTTGCTGGAAGCTTTTTGATGACTGCTTCAATTTCTTCCATAGTTATTGGCCTATTGAGATGTTTAGATTCTTCCTGATTGAGTTTTGGAAGTTGTATTTTTCTAGGAATATGTCCATTTCCTCCAGATTGTCCATTTTGTTAGAATAGAGTTGTTCATAGTATTTTTAAAGAATCCTTTGTATTTCAGTGGGGTTTGTTGTTATTTTTCCTCTTTCATTTCTGATTTTGTTTATTTGGGTCCTCTCTCGTTGCTTCTTGGTGAGCCTGGGAAGAAGTTCATCAATCTTGTTTATCCTTTCAAAGAATCAGCTCTTGGTTTTCTTGATCTTTTGTAATTTTTTTTTTTGTCTCAATGTCATTTATCTCTGTTCTGATCTTTATTTCTTTCTTTCTGCTTACACTGGGCTTTTCTTGTTGCTCTCTTTCTAACTCTTTGAGTTGTAGGGTTAGGTAATTGATTACCATTATTTCTTGTTTTTTGAAGTAGGCTTGTAGAGCTATGAACTTCCCTCTGAAGACTGCTTTCGCTGTGCCCCATAGATTTTGGATTGTTGTATTTTCATTGTTATTTGTTGCCATGATGTTTTTTATTTCTTCTTTTATCTCCCTGATAACCCAGTCGTTGTTTAATAGCATGCTGTTTAGTCTCCATGTGTTTGATTTTTTTTTTTTTTTGGATTGTTTTTATTATAGTTGAATTGCCTGTGACCCAATATATGGTCTAACTTTGAGAATGTCCCATGTGCACTTGAGAAGAATGTATATTCTGCGGCTTTGGGGTGAAATGTTCTGAAGATGTCAACTAATTCCATGTGGTCTAGTGAGACATTTAGGATTGGTATTTCTTTGCTGATTTTTTGTTTAGAAGATTTGTCCAATGGTGATAGTGGGGTATTAAAGTTCCCTACTATGATTGTATTGTCAATCTCTCCCTTGATCTCTTTCAGGAGTTTTTTGTTTGTTTGTTTGTTTGTTTATGTATTTGGGTGCTCCTTTATTAGGTGTGTATATGTTTACCAGAGTTATTTCTTCTTGTTGGATTGCTCCCTTTAGTATTATGAAGTGGCCTTCCATATCTTTTTTTTAATGTCCTTCACTTTGAGGTCTAATTTGTCAGATATAAGTAATGCTACCCAAGCTTTTTTTATTTCTATTCTCCTGAAAAACCTTTTTTCACCCCTTCACCTACAGTCTGTGTGTGTTCTATTTTTCTGACGTGGGTTTCTTGTAAACAGCAGATATATGGGTCATGTTTTATTATCCCTATGTCTTTTGATTGGGGCATTTAATCCATTTACATTTAAAGTTATTATTCATAGATACTTGTTTGTCACACATTTTTATTCTTTACCCCTGTGTTCCTTCTTTGCTTCCTATTTCTTTCT